TTCCAAGCAAATGAAAATGGAAAAAAAGCTGGTGTAGCAATACTCATGTCTGACAAGATAGACTTCAAAACAAGGGCTATAATAAGAGACAGAGAAAGTCACTACATAATATTAAAAGGCGCAATCCAAAAAGAAGATATAACCCTGGTAAACATATGCACCAAATACAGAAGCACCAAAATTTATTTAAAAACTTCTGGAGGACTTCAAAGGAGAGATCAATAGCAACACGATCATAGGAGGTGACTTTAACATGCCAGTGACACCACTGGATATATCTTCTAGACAAAAAAATTAACAATGACATAGAGTTCTTACATGACAAACTAGATCAGTTGGACTTAATTGATATTTACAAAACATTTCACCCCAAAGCTGCAGAATATACATTCTTTTCAAGTACACATGGGTCATTCTCAAAGATAGACCACATGTTAGGACACAAAACAAGTCTCTACAAATTTAAGAAAATTGAATTCATATCAAGTATCTTTTCAGATCACAGTGGCACAAAACTAGAACTCAATTACAATAAAAACACACAAAAACTTTCAAACACTTGGAGGCTAAATAGCATGTTATTAAACAATGAATGGGTTACTAATGAGATCAAGGAAGAAATTAAAAACTTTCTGGAAATCAAAGAAAATGAACACACAACAACACAAAATCTTTGGGACACAGTGAAAGCAGTCCTGAGAGGGAATTTCAAAGCACTACAGGCCTACCTCATGAAACAAGAAAAATTTCTCATTGACTTTCTAACCCTACAACTTAAAGAACTAGAAAGTAAACAAAAAGAAAAACCCAGACCTAGTAGGAAGAAGGAAATAGTAAAAGTCAGAGCAGAAATAAACAACTTAGAGACTAAAAAACCAAAAACAAAACAAAACAAGCAACAACAACAACAACAACAAAAAACAATTCAAAAGATCAATGAAACAAAAAGCTAGTTCTTTAAAATCATAAACAAGATGGATAGAACTTTAGCCAGACTCAAAAAGAAACAAAAAGAGAGAAACCAAATAAACAAAATCAGAAATGAAAGAGGAGAAGTAACAACTGACACCACAGAAACACGAAGGTTCATTAACACATACTATAAACAATACACGCCAACAAACTGGACAATTTAGGAGAAATGGACAAATTTCTACAAACACACTGCCTCACAAAACAGAACCAGGAAGAGATAGAAAACTTGAAGAGAACAATAACAACAGAGGAAATTGAAGATGTAATCAAGAATCTCCCTGTAAACAAAAGCCCAGGCCCAGAGGACTTCACGGGGAAGTTTTACTGAACATTCAAAGAAGATCTAATACCCATTCTCCTCAAACTATTCCAAAAAATTCAAGAAGATGGAATACTTCCAAACTCATTTTATGAGGCCAGCATAATCCTAATTCCAAAACCAGATAAAGACACTACAAAGAAAGAAAACTACAGGCCAATATCCCTAATGAACACAGATGCCAAAATCCTTAACAAAATATTAGCAAATCGGATCCAGCAATACATCAAAAACATTATTCATCATGACTAAGTGGGTTTCATCCCAGGCATGCAAGGCTGGTACAATATTCGCAAATCAATAAATGTGATACACCACATAAACAAAAGGAAAGATAAAAACCATATTGATCATATCAATAGATGCTAAATAAGCATTTGACAAAATCCAGCACCCATTTTTTATGAAAACGCTCAGCAATGTGGGAATAGAAGGATCATATCTCAATATAATAAAGTCCATATATAAAAAACCTACAGCCAACATCATACTCAATGGGCAAAAACTAAGAACATTCCTCTTAAGAACAGGAACAAGACAGGGATGCCAATTTTTGCCACTCTTATTTAACATTGTACTGGAAGTCTTAGCCAATGCAAATAGACAATAAAAAATAAAGGGGATCCCAATTGGAAAGGAGAAAGTGAAACTGTCAATATTTGCAGATGACATAATATTGTACATAGAAAACCCTAAAGACTCCATCAAAAATCTACTAGACTTAATAAATGAATTTGGCAAAGTAGCAGGATACAAAATTAACGTCAAGAAATCGACAGCATTCTTATATACCAATGATGAACTCACAGAAAGAGAAACTTAAACGACAATCCCATTTACCATCGCAGCAAAAATATTAAGATGCATAGGAATAAACTTAACCAAAGAAGTAAAGAACCTCTTCACTGAAAACTACAGGTCATTAAAAAAAGAAATAGAGGAAGATATAAAAATCTGGTAGCATATACCTTGTTCATGGATTGGAAGAATTAACATCATTAAAATGTCCATACTACCCAAAGCAATCTATAGATTTAATGCAATTTCCATCAAAATGCCAATGACATACTTCACAGAACTAGGACAAACACTCCAAAAGTTCATATGGAACCAAAAAAGACCCTGAATAGCCACAGCAATCTTGAAAAAGAAGAACAAAGTAGAAGGGATCATATTACCAGATATCAGGTTATAGTACAAAATCACTGTAATCAAAACAGCCTGGTACTGGCACAAAAACAGGGAGATAGATCAATGGAACAGAATAGAGAACCCAGAAATTGACCCAAGACAATATGCTCAATTAATATTTGACAAAGGTGGCAAAAGCATACCGTGAAGTCTAGACAGTTTCTTCAATAAATGGTGTTGAGAAAATTGGACAGCTACTTGCAAAAAAAAATGAAGCTAAAATACCAAGTTACACCACACATGAGGATAAACTCAAAATGGATAAAAGACTGAAATGTAACTCGTGAATCCATAAAAATCCTGGAAGAAAATCTAGGCAACAAAATTTCAGACATCATACACAGCAGAATTTTCACCGATACATACCTCAGGCAACAGAAACAAAGGAGAAAATGTACACATGGGACTACATCAAACTTAAAATTTTCTGCACAGCAAAAGGAAAAAACCATCAAAATGAAAAGGAATCCCACTATATGGGAGACCATAATCGCCAATGATGCATCAGATAAGGGGTTAATTTCCAAAATATATAGAGTGCTTATACAACTCAACAAAAGGAAGACAAAGAACCCAGTTAAAAAATGGGCAGAGGAACTAAATAGACACTTCTCCAAACAGGACATGCAAATGGCCAAGAGACATATGAAGAAATGTTCAACATCACTAATCATCAGAGAGATGCAAATTAAAACAACTATGAGGTATCACCTCACACTTGCCACAGTGGCCGCCATCAACAAATCATCAAACAAGAAGTGTTGGCAAGGGTGTGAAGAAAAGGGGACTCTAGTACACTGCTGGTAGGAATGCAGACTGGTGCAGCCACTGTGGAAAACACTGTGGTGTTACCTCAAAAAGTTAAAAATTGAACTGCCATTTGACCCATTGATCCCACTTTTAGGAATATACCTTAAGAAACCTGAAACACCAATCAGAAAGAACATATGTACCCCCACGTTCATAGCAGCACTATTTACAATAGCTAAGATCTGGAAACAACCCAAGTGTCCTTCAGTAGATGAGTGGATTAAAAAGCTGTCGTACATGTACACAGTGGAATACTATGCAGCTGTAAGAAAGAAAGATCTCTTATCCTCTGAGATGGCATGGAAGGACTGGGAGAGTATTATGCTAAGCGAAACAAGCCAAGCAGAGAAAGACAAATATCACATGATCTCACTTATATGTAGAATATAATGAAGTAAACAAACTGCTGAACAAAATTATCCCAGAGACATGGAGGTGGGATACAGACTGAAAAGCCTCAGAGGGGGGGGGTTTGTGGGGGAAGAGATAAACCGCAGAACTTACATGCATGTATGCATGACCAATGAATATAGACAACAGAGCTGGGGATGGGGCAGTGGAGAAAGGGGAGGAGGGTGTCAATCGGGGAAAAATGAGAAACATCTGTAACAAAAACAAATTAATAAATTTAAAAAATGACTTACTAATAGAAATTCTCATAATTCATGTATCTTGAAGCTATTTTACTAGGTTCACATAAATTTGGGATTTTAATATTTTCCTGTTAAAGTGACCCTTTGATCTTTATAAAATGATCTTTATACCTTTAAAGTTCACTTCATCTAAATTAATATGGACATATCCGAATTTGTGTGTGTGTGTGTGTGTGTGTTTTTCAGTATTTACGTACCATAAATTTTCTACTTTTTTTGCTTTGTTTTGTTTTACTTTTCTTTAAAAACTTTTTTTATTGAATTTACTGGCATGGCATTGGTAAATATAATATAGACTTATCACATAAATTTTATTAATGTCTAACCACTATACTGTATACATAAAACTAATATAAAATAATATTGAATGTCAACTATAATTGAAAAAAAATGAAAAGAAAATAGAGCAAATAGGGCATAATGTTAAAATTTTAAAAAGTTGGGCCCTGGCCGATTTGACTCAGCTGTAAGAGCATCAGCCTGCGGTCCAGAGAAACCCAGGCTTGGTTCCCACTAAGGGCACGTATCTCGGTTGCAGTTTGTCCTTGGCCCTGGTTGAGTTGTGTGGGTGGCAGCCACTCAATGTGTCCCTTGCACATCAATGTTTCTCTCTCTCTCTCCCTCCTACTCTATCTGAAAAAAATGTCCTCAGGTGAGGATAAAAAATAAAAAAATAATAGTAAATAAATAAATTTTATAAAGTTGGGTGATGTGTGTACAGGTTCTTTATTATATTATTTTGTGTTCTTCGTGAATGAAATATTTCACAAAATATACAAAAACAAAGGTATTATATATTACTCTAAATTTTTGTGATGTGTATAATTAACAATACAGTAAATATTAGTTATATAATATTTATTATATTTCAAACAGTAACAACAGACAGGGATTTTTTAAAAGCCATATTCTGGATTTTTTACAGACCTCAACCATGTCACAGTCATTTACATAGTGCTAAACACAGACAACACAGCGGGAAATATACACAACGCATACACACAAAACTGTTCTCAGGACGATGGGCATATATTGAGTGGTATGTTATCAAATCATAGAGCCCAGGTGACACGGCGTTTCTGGATTTGTGATGCCTTTGGAAAACCTTCCTTTGAATCTTCAGTGTTCATATGGACGATGCTACGAGGAATTGAGATTTGTTCTGGTAACGGAATGACTTGGTTAGAACTATCAGATTGCTGTGTATCTTGACTTTCTCTGGCAGAATTTGTGATGGTGGTCTGGCAAGTGCAAGTATTCACAGATTGCTTGTACTCTAGGAAAGAGAAGATTCCTGGGGAAAAGAGAAGCCAAGGAGGGCAATGAAAAAATAAGAGTCACAAAAATATTTCCCTCTGTGTTGGCAGAGAGACCCTGAACCAAAGCGCAGTGGGTCTCTTTTGAACTGTCCCAAGAAATTTGCAAGGGAGATGCTTTGGTGGAAGAGACTGGTGCAGCCACTATGGAAACACTATGGTGTTACCTCAAAAAGTTAAAGATTGAACTGCCATTTGACCCATTGATCCCACTTTTAGGAATATACCTTAAGAAACCTGAAAAACCAATCAGAAAGAATATATGTATCCCCATGTTTGTAGCAGCACTATTTACAATAGCTAAGATCTGGAAACAACCCAAGTGTCCATCAGTAGATGAGTGGATAAAAAAGCTGTGGTACAGCCCTGGCCGGTTTGGCTCAGCGGTTAGAGCACTGGCCTGCGGTCCGGAGAGACCCGGGTTCGGTTCCCGCTAAGGGCATGTACCTTGGTTGCAGTTTGTCCCTGGCCCTGGTTGGTCGTGCGGGTGGCGGCGGCTCGATGTGTCCCTTTCACATCAATGTTTCTCTCTCCCTCTCTCCCTCCTGCTCTATCTGAACAAAGAATGAAAAAGTGTCCTGGGGTGAGGATAAAAAACAAACAAACAAAAAAGCTGTGGTACATATACACAATGGAGTACTATGCAGCTGTAAGAAAGAAAGATCTCTTATCCTTTGAGATGACATGGAGGGACCTAGAGAGTGTTATGCTAAACAAAGCAAGCGAAGCAGAGAAAGACAAATATCACATGATCTCACTTATTTGTGGAATATAATGAACTAAACAAACTGCTGAACAAAATTGACCCAGAGACATAGAGGTGGGGTACAGACTGACAAACCTCAGAGAAAGGGGATTGGGGGGCGGGGAATAAACCACAGAACTTATATGCATGTATGAATGACCAATGAACATAGACAACAAAGCTGGGGACGGGGCAGGGGGAATGGGGAGGAAGGTGTCAATGGGGGAAAAGGAGAAACATCTATATCAAAAACAAATTAATAAAAAAATAAATAAACAAAACAGAAACATTCTCATAGATACAAAGAACAAACTGATGATTAACAGATGGGAGCAGGACTTAGGCGGCTGGATGAAAAAGGTGAAGGGATAAGAAGTGCAAACTGGTAGTTACAGAACAGTCAGAGGGATATAAAGTACAGCATAAGGAATATAGTCAATAATATTGTAATAACTAAGTATAGTGCCAGGTGGGTACTAGATTATCTCCCAGTCTATAAGTACTTTGTAAATTATATAAATGTCTAACCACTATGCTGTGCACCTGAAACTTGTACAAAATAATATTAAATGTCAACTGTAATTGAAATATAAAAGTCAAAAAACACGTAATTTCACAGTGTGCAAGCCCTCAGGTAATAATAAATAACAAAGTCAAATGCAAAAAAAAAAAAAAAAAAGAGTGTTAAATAACCAGAAGAGTTTAAATACTTCTTAACTAAACAAAATTGAAGATTCTTTTTTTTTTTTTTTTTTAGAGGATATGCTTCTGAGTTAGAAATTTCTAAATAAAATTTTAAAACATTTTTAAAAGAAGAGTCTCCATGGTCGGTGGCTGAACATTTTGTGTTAGACATTGCTCTCTGACCTTGGCACTATACTGTCCAGCCAGGTTACTGTCCTTCTCCACATAAGTGAGCGATCCATATTAGCCACTCTCCTTAGTCTTAACTTTGATGGTTAAGAAATGCGGAGGGGGAGAAACACAGCAGAAAACACGGAAGTAAGGAGCTGCTCTCTGAAGCAAGCATAATGAACATTTCACAGTGTCCTAATTTCCCAGTCTATCCTTATAGGAACTTTCATCAGAGAGTGAGCCCACTTGAACTTTAACCCTTTAAAATGCAAGGATTAGTACCTTTTTCCTCATTCCCCTTTTCCAGCCTTTCACTCTCCCTTCTATCAAGGGTAGGTTAGTTTTTATTACCCATAAAAGACCCTGAATACACTTACCAGAGCAAAAAATGAAGGAGACACTAAGGTAGGCAGTGAAAATGATCCAGGTGATCTTATAACTAAAGTAGTATACGGACTGACCTTGCTTTAGCTTTTGCTGATACAGTAGGAGCGAAGAGAGCAGAAGGGTACCTAATGTCCAAACAAAAGGAGAAAAAACCCTTCTGAGGAGCCATGTCTCTTCTGCTCATCTTAGCCCCAGATATGCCAAACTTCTAAGCCTCCACCCTGTACAAATGCACCTCACCCAAGAATCAGTCCCACTTCAGTGGCTGATTCAATTCAGAAGTTTTACATCTGGGCCAAAAATCTGGGAAGGTCACATTAGTCAGAAACCACAGGTTGGACCCTCAAGCCAAGTATACTTTAAGCCTGTGTTGGGGAAGTCAGGCAGTTACCTATGGAGAAACTGAGGAATACAGACATGAAGTAGACATATTTAGTTTGAGGAATCATATAGGTGAATTGCAAACCCAGGAAGAAATTTTGGAAGCAGGCTGAGCCGAGCACTATCATCATCATTATCCTGACCACTTCCAGGTCACCTGTTGGAAAGCAAAATCTAAATTGAAAAAACAGATGTTTCTTCTAGGCTTATTTCCACCCAGGGGACACAATCTCTAAGTAACAATAGAAATGGGGTGAAAGATTTGATTAAATAATAAGGATAAAAGTGAGGGGGTGAAGAAGCAGGGAACCATAAGCTGAATGGGAGAGAGAACCAAAAATTGTTCTCATCTTTGTGTCTCTACAAGCTTCCTCCTCCTCCTTTTCTTTCTCAGAACTAATTTCCTGTGAAATACTCTAATTTATCATGTTCACCTCTGGCGTCAACATAACTACTTTCCTCTTGCCAGTTGCTTTTCTTTTCTACCCTTATGTTCCTGCTGTGCTGGCCACCCTGCTGCTACTGCCAAGGCTTCTCGGATGTCCAGCAGGTACATCTGTGAACTCCTAAACTTTTCTCCAAAACACAGAATTGGTAAGATTTGGGACTCTGCCTTGACAGTATTGATTGTGGAAGTGGGTACACTGCAGCCTGAGGAAATTGCACTGGAGAATAACGAAGAAGCTGGTAAGGTAAATGGAAGACAAGGAAAGGTGAACTCTCCCTCTCCACCCATTGTTCTATGATATAGCTCTTACCTTTTGGCCAAATAGTAGTGGTCATCCATGGACTGTGGCTTTTCTTGTTTGTTTTTGTTTCAGAATTTATTATAACCCAGTTATTGAGCATAACCCCTGAGGCCAATAAGAGTAAGGCCCAAGAAGAGAAGAACATGTTAATGGCCTGCACATTTCTGGTTGATAAGTGCACCATTGCAAGTGGAGATTTCGAGCTGAAACCACCACCAAGATCTTACATTTTTCTTCTATGATTTAATTAGTCATAAGAAGAAGAGAAAATCTAGACTGTTAGTGATTGCTGAGGCATTGGCCGTGGCCAGAAGCGGAAGTAGCCTATGGAAGAGAGAAGATTAATCCTGCTCTTCACCGCTCCCATATCCCGGCCAGACTGCTGTCAGGGCTGCCAACTGCCATAGAACCATCTGTTGGTTTGACCCTAGACCCTGGGCCTGGCTCAGTGGAAGGAGCAAAGGGACCCACAGTATCTGAGGAAGCTATTAGATATAAAGGGAAATACGATATCACATGTAGAGACAGCTATCAGATACACAGATAACTAAAGACCTGAAAGAAGTTAAACATGCATGACTAATGAGGTATCATTTTAGTTAGAATTATAGGTTCCAAGTCTAGATGATATTATGTAGGGATCAGTGAAGAGCAGAAAGAATTCGGGATCATAGAAATGAGTGTCAGCTAGTAGCGTCACAAAAGGGAATGACCATTCAGAATTTAGGATGTTTTAGAGAAACTTGGTTCCTCATTTGGATAGCCTACAGTGGTTTAATCAGGCAAGCATCCGGAAATAGACCAGTGTCTTGAAACCAAAAGAAATGGACTGGCATACCAAACCATTGCACTCTAATATCACTTATCAAGTATAGACACTTATTTGTCAGAATTGCCTCTGTATCTAGGCAAAGTAAACAGTTTTTGATTCCTTGAAGAGGCAGTCATGGTATGTACTAATCTCAGAATCAGAGAATTTGTACTGAAATAAAAATAATTAAATTACAATTTTTTTAAAGGCTTTTTCTGAACTAAGATGAAAGTCATCTCCAAAACCTGTCTCTGCCTATTTCTTCAACTTCACTGCAAGACCTGGAATTGCTGGATTTCTTTCATTGTCTCAAACACGATCTTATTATATTTTACTTATCTTTTATTTATTTATTTATTTTTATCTTCACCGTAGGACACTTTTCCATTCATGCTCAGATAGAGCAGGAGGGAGAGAGGGAGGAAGAGAGAGAAAAAAACATCTATGTGAGAGAGACATCGAGTGGTTGCCACCCACACGACGCCAACTGGGGCCGGGGATGAACTACAACTGAGGTACGTGCCCTAAGCAGGAACCGAACCCAGGACTCTCTGTCCGCAGGCCGAAGCTCTAACCACTGAGTCAAACTGGCCAGGGCTATCTTTTTAATTTTTAAACCAATGCTCAATATATTTAATCTTACAAAGGGGACAGTTTGGTTAATGAAATGGACTCAGGATCCTGGTTTTAAATGCTGATTCTACTACTAAGCAGCTTTGTGGTCTTACAGATAATGCTTCCCACTACATAAGAATTTTGTAAGGATTAAATGAATTTAGAGATGTAAAGCCCTTAAAAGAGTTCCTGGCACAAAATAAATGATACATAAACAATTAACATAGTATTAAATTGGATTCCCCAAGAAGGAGATGCTAAGGCAGAGATTTGTATGTGGGGAATGTATTGGGAAGTACACCCAGGAACTATACCTGTTAAGTGTTTCAGGGAATCAAGTGTGAGCAGAAGTTGAAATGAGATGCAGTTGCAACACTGAAAATGTTAGTCAACACCACCGAGATCTCTGAATCTGGAGTGGTCCTTTGGAGTCACCCTGAATGGAGCAAGAGAATTCAGTTTGTCAGGGAATGCAGGCTGCTTCTGGACAATCCCTTTATGTCTGGGAAACTACAAGCCTCAGCAGAGCATTTCTGGTGGCCGCGGGAATGGGTTCTCACTCTTCACCACGCCTGTGTAGGAGCCCGCTTGCTGTTAGGGCTGCCAGCTGCCATGGAATTCTCTATTGACTTGATGCTTGACCCTGTGGATTAGTGAGGCAGAAGGACCATGAGGGTAACAGGGAGTACACCATGACAACTTACGTTATTACATTCTTACATATTGATGCTTTCATTTCTATGCAACAGAGCCTAGGGGTAGGATTCCTGGGCTGAGTTATGTCTCTTATATTTTAATAGGTAATGACAGTAAAGATATAGAGATATAGCCAGGTTAAAGAAACTGATAGAAGGTAAGGGATTTAGTGAGATACAAGTTAAAAAAGAAATCAAGTTTCCAGACAGGAAAAACAGCAGGCAATGATGCCATTAAATAAGGTGTAATGTAGCAGGAAACACGGGCTTAGAGAGGAAGAAGTTAGCTAGTACCAGTCTGAGTTACAGAACATACAGTAGATAGAATTCAGTTCAGTAACTCGATTACAGATCAGTTGAAGGATGGCACTTGAAACACATGTGAATGTCATCGTGTAAGGATGTCACACAGATTGCGGAGAGAGCTAGAGGAGATTATGGAGAACAGCAGCTTTTATGAAAAAGAAGAAGAGTCAGAAAGAAGATAGAGAAATTACAGATGTTTCTGAGGAATTTAAAAGAGCCCCCAGTTTTAAGGAGTGATTGGTCCCTAATATCTAATGCTGCAGGAAAATTAAGTTTGGTGAAAACTGAACATATGTCACTTAATTTTACAATTAGAATGCCACTGGTGATTTTAGCCATAGCATTTTCAACAGGACAGAAGTGAAAGCAGAAAGGAGATAGTTTGTTTTTGCTCTTTCTTTACACAGACAACTAAATTAAATAAATAACAACAATGGGAGGGGGAGTAGAACTGTAGCTTCAAGGGGAAAATATGCAATTTTGAAAAAGTAGAGACTAGCATAAGAGTTCTCATGTTCCTTCATCCACCTTCAATGATAAACCCCTGAATTATGCTGGAAAAATTCTAGACAATTTTGTCTTTAAATATTTGTTTTATTAAAAGATAAACCCCACCCCATGGAATTATTTACTATTTCTTTTAAAAAATTTTTATTTATCCTCACCCAAGGATATTTTTCCATTTTTTTGTTCAGATAGAGTGAGAGGGAGAGAGAGGAAGAGAGAGAAACATTGACGTGAAAGGGACACAGTGAGTGGACCCAACCAGGGCCGGGGACAAACTGCAACGGAGGCACGTGCCCTTAGCAGGAACCGAACCCGGGTCTCTCTGGACTGCAAGCCAACGCTCTAACCGCTGAGCCAAACTGGCCAGGGCTATTTACTCTTTTTTTTTTTACCTTAATCTAGTTTACTAGAAGAGTATCATCTTTGTTGATGTTTTCAATAATTCTTTATGCATTTACCAGCTTGAAAATTATTTACAATATTGACTTTATCCCCTAAATTTCTTAAGATAGTTGAAAAATCTTCTTTAATATGACACATTTAAAACATTTTTCTCTATGTATTGCATTTGCAATATCTTGTACATTTTTTCTACATTTTCCATAACATTTGTAAAAATAGATTTTTTAAAATTTATCCTTATTATTGAAAGTATTACAGATGTCCCTCCTTTTTTCCCCACTGACACCCTCCTCCCTGCTCCCATCCCCCACAACCTTCACATTATTGTTGTCTGTGGCTATTGCTTGTGAATATATGCATATAAATTCTTTGGTTTATTTCATCCTGTCTCCTCCACCCTCCATCCCTCTGACTTTTGTCAGTCTGTTTCCTACTTCCCTGTCTCTTGATCTATTTTGTACCTCAGCTTATTTTGTTCATTATATTACACAAATAAGTGAGATCATGTGATATTTGTCACTCTCTGACTGGCCAATTTTGCTTAGCATAATACTCTCAAGGTCTCTCCATGTTGTCTCAAAGGATAAGAGATCTTTCTTTCTTACAGCTGCATAGTACTCCATTGCATATATGTGCCACAGCTTTTTTATCCACTCATCCACTGGGGGACACTTGGGATGTTTCCAGATCTTAGCGATTGTAAATAGTGCTGCTATGGATATAGCAGTGCAAAAACTATTTCTGATTGGTGTTTTAGGCTTCTTAAGATATACTCCTAGAAGTCAGATCACTTGTGTCAAATGGCAGTTCCATTTTTAATTTTTTGAGGAAACACCATGATTTCCCTAGTGGCTGCACCAGTCTACATTCCCACCAGCAGTGTACCTGAGTCCCTTTTACTCCACATCCTCACCAGCACTTGTTGTTTGATGATTTGTTGATGGCAGCCAATCTGATCAGTGTGAGGTGACACCCCATAGTAGTTTTAATTTGCATTTCTCTGATGATTAGTGACCTTCAGCATTTTTTCATATGTTTCTTGGCTATTTGTATGTCCTGTTTGGAGAAGTGTCTCTTCAGGTCCTCTACCCATTTTTAATTTTATTATCTTCCTTTTGTTGAGTTATGTGAGTAATTTATATATTTTGGAAATGAACCCCTTATCAGATGTATGATTGGCAAATATGTTCTCCCAAACAGTGGATTCTTTTTTCATTTTGTTCATGGTTTCTTTTGCTGTGCAGAAGCCTTTTAGTTTGGTGTAGTACCATTTATTGTTTGTTGTTGTTGTTGTTTTTCCTTTGCTTCTCTTGCACTAGGGAATATAACAGTGAAAATTCTACTACTTGTGATATCTGAGATTTTACTGCCTACATTTTCTTCTATAAGTTTTATGGTTTCACACATTGCATTTAAATCCTTTATCCACTTTGAGTTTATTCTCGTGTGTTGTATAAATTAGTGGTCTAGTTTCATTTTTTGCATATACTTATCCACTTTTTCCAACACCAATCATTAAAGAGACTGTCTTTACTCCACTGTATGCTCTTGCCTCCTTTGTCAAATATTAATTGAACATAATGTGTTGGGTCAATTTCTGGATTCTCTGTTCTGTTCCATTGATCTATATGTCTGTTCTTGTGCCAGTACCAGGTTGGTGTGTTTACAATGGCTTTGTAGTATAACCTGTAATTCGGAATTGTGATCCCTCCCATTTTGTTCTTTTTCAAGATTGCTGTGGCTATTCAGGGTCTTTTTTTTTGGTTCCATATAATCTTTTGGAGTATTTGTTCTAGATCTGTGAAGTACGCTGTTGGTATTTTAATAGAGATTGCATTGAATCTATGG